CAAGCATGAACAGGCTAAAAGAAGGCAAAAAGTTATCTTAACAGGGATGTTAATACTGACTTACCCACCTGATGTGGGCGTTATGAGGCTTAATTTATTAATGCCGGTATACAGCTAATTATCGCTATTAGCTTTTAACTGAGTGGTCCTGCTAGGTCAGTGCTGAATCACATTGGTGGGGCAGTGTGAGGAAGCTTGCCCTGCTGCTGGCCGTGCAGTACGTGCACTGCTGGCTACACATAAGTCTTGAGGTTCAGTGTAGTCCTTTCAGGGGAATTAAATTAACTGAAAACAGAAGAGGCCTTGCTTGGCTCCTAAAGAAGCGTGAACATCAGCAGAGAGTCAAATGCAGAGCCATGAACAGCAGACCCACCCTCATTCTGGCAGACTTCAGCAAATCATCACCTGAAGACTTGGCCTTTGCACAGCAGTGCACTGAGCAGCTCGTCGACAAGGGGCGTATGAGGAGAAATACTTGAACAGCTGCATCTCGGGCTAATTGCAGTGTCTTGACAGAGCTATCAGGGAGACCAATAAAGAGGGAATTACAAGCATCAACCTGGCAAATTATGAAAGTAGGGATTAAAGCTCAAAGTTTTTGTGAGAGAGAAACGCCCTCAGTGCTTTTTGGCAGGTGATGAAAGGCAGATTTAGTGACAGCTGCCAGATGAGAATCAAGGGACAACCGAGTCCATATGGCTCTCTTGCTTGTTTTTGGCAAGCTCTGAATCTTCTAATGTAACATGGTGGGTGTAATGGGGGAGCATGACTCAGAGAGCACAACAGGCCAATCAGGATCACATCAACTTTATCTGACTGGACCAGAACCCATTTTGAAACTTTCCAGCCTGGCCAGCGGATGTTAAACAGCACAGAGCCTACCCTTTCCCCATTTCCTCAGTCACTTCTGCAAAGTAAGTCACACAGCAGAGGAATCTCAGAATAATGGAGCCATCTGAAAGCCATTTAAAGGAAAATTGATTAAAACAGGTAATGACAATACCTTATAGACCCTCCAGGTATTCACAGGGTGAAAGAACCCGCTGATCTAGTGCAGTATTTCTGAACGTGTACCACATCTCTCCTTGGCTTCAAAGGATGAAATGGAGCCAATGGGAGCCGTGGGGCTCCATGTCCGTGGCACCAGTACATAAACAAACTAGGGCAGCCAGTTAAAATGTTCCTGAAAGTGTTTCCACGGTACACGTTCAGAAATGCTGATCTAGTGTATCAAACATTATAGTCAGACCTAAAATTGGTTGAAACTCTTTCTGTTCTGTGGAAATCTTGACTTTTCAAAATTGGTGCAAATGAGAAAAAAAACCCTAAAATTTCAAATTTCTCTCTGAAATATCAGAACATTTTTGTTTCCAAAATATGAAAGTGTCCTTATCTGTTTCCTTTGTTAAATTGTGAGGGTTTGCTCACAAAAGCTCATGATACTATATCTATATTTTTGTTAGTCTCTAAGGTACTACAGGACTAATCATTTCAATAAGGTCAAAGCATTTCACTTTGAATGAGAATAGATTAGAATAGAAAAGTCAAAACAATACTCAAAACAAAACTCGTTGATCTTATCAAAATAAAACATTCTGAAAAACTTTACATCAAAAATTTCCATTAAGTCAACATGCCCCTATAAAATGTTTTGATTGAGTGGAATCAGCATTTTCTGAAATGTTTCATCAGAAAATTTTCAAGCAGCCCTAGTCATCCTTATAATACAGAGGATAAGATGATCTCAGCTATTTGCTGTGTCTACATATACAACAAAGTGGGAATTTTCAGAGGAGAAAAGGTTATTGCTATGCCTTCCCCTACACTTCTTGCTCACAAATCAGCAGGTCTGACAGGGTCTTAGTCCATACAAGAGAGGCGAGGGAAGAGAGGTCTTTTCAGCAAAATAAATAGTGCATCTAAGTACAGAAAGACATGGGCACAGTCTTCATGGATAAATGAATTATTCCTGCCAATATTTGGCTCACAATTAAAAATTATGGAGTAAGCAACTAGGCTGATCATGAGTCCATTTGACAGAGAGCAAGAGTGTATCTGATTTATCACTCTAACTAAATCTGCTTTGGAAATCAAGTCAAAACTACTCCAAAATCTAGCGAGCAACTTCAGCTAGGGTTGCCAGATAGTTTCACAAAAAATATCAACCTCCCTCGCTCCGCCCCCGCCAAAAAAAATTGCTGGAAAAAAATTCTGTTGAGCAAAAAAAAAAGAAAAAAAGACCAGGGCCAAAATGTAAACATTAAAATGCAAAATTAAAAGCCCCTTTAATTCCTAGGGCCCTTCCCTCATCCCTGCAATGTCCCAAGAGGCCTTCCATCGGTATTTTAGATGACCGGTATTTTCTGAATTTTTTTACCAGATGGAAGGTATAAATACTGGGCTGTCCTGTTCAATACCAGACACCTGGCAACCCTAACTTCAGCGTGAGAGCTGATTCTGCAAATGTAAAGGTAGGGTGATAGCAGAAAATGATGAATTTGTGTCATCATTAGAGGGTTTTTTGTGGTTTATCAGCACAAGGTGAATGGGGCCCCTCTGCATGAAAGTCCTGAGAAAATACACATTTTTATAGCGCTGCTCAGGGTTTCTAATGTCCTTGTTCAGGGGGTTACTGATACCCAGCAGAGAAAAAAAAGGAATTTTGTTTTGCAGTTGACTTTAAGACAGATTTGGCTCTCTACAAGCAATCACAGATGGACTTGTCTTGACAGTTTGCCTGCAAAGTATAAACCTGATCTCGATCTCATGCAATAAAGGCTGAAATTTTAGTTGCTAGGGATAAGTAAAGATATGGCAAATTAACCGAACTTAATTCAAATCGTCATCAAACAATGGTTCCACCTGTTTTGCTGTTGTCTTACCATCTGCCATCCCTCTACCTGCTGGAAAAGAAGCTTTTCCCTTGCCCCATATGTGATGTATATTGTTAAGTCACATCTCATACACTGTCACCTTAGAAGTGAGAAAATGACTATAGAATATGCAGACTAAGCTAATGAAAGGTGCCCACAACTATTTTCTTGGCCATATCAGAAACAATTAAAGGTCCAAAATTTTGTGTTTAATTATTTCTTTATTTTGTGCTATGGCAGATAATTTTATATCCAGCTCTTACTAATAGATGCTCAACTAAATGGTTCTATGTACAGCATACAGATTAAACCTTTGCCTCATTTAGCTGCATGCTTCAAGCTGTAATATTAAAGGGTCCCAGCCATGCATTGCACTTGATTGACTTAACTCTTCTGAAATCCAAGATCCATTTATAACAAGAAAAAAGCAAATCTTAAAACAATCAATAAGCACATTACCAAGAAGTCTTGAACAGATTTTTCAGTGACAGATCCTTAGCAAATGTAAATGAGCATAAGTCTGTTCAAGTCAAGGGACCTATGTTTTTTGATCAGTGGAGGAGCTGACCCTCCCACTCTTTGTTTCTGGAGATAATTGCACAATGAATGCAGGTCTTCTGGAAAAGGGAGGCTTGCCTTTTGGAGCAGCAGCTGAGAAAGTATGATCTCTGACCATTCTGATTGTGATAAACCCTCCCCTGCCGGCCTTACAAAGTGAACTGGAACAGCAGAAGTTCAAAGAGAAGCACTGGGCTGACTATAGGCAGTCCCCGGGTTACGTACAAGATAGGGACTGTAGGTTTGTTCTTAAGTTGAATCTGTATGTAAGTCGGAACTGGCGTCCAGATTCAGCCGCTGCTGAAACTGATCAGTTTCAACAGCGGCTGAA